GCAGACAAGACCTGACTATCGATCTCCGTCTTCGCTCCAGCCACCCATCCATCCCATTGAATAGCTATGCATTCATGATGCTGAAAGTTGATTCGCCCGTCTATAACGAATATGGGATTGTTGAAGACGTGTATCACGTAACAATGGAATGTGGCCGGGGCGAGGCGCAGCGTCACCACCTCAACATTAAAATGCACGATCTCGGTAAGGTTAATAGCATCCTGGCAGCTCCGACCTCTGAAGAGGCAGAGCTGCTATATAAAGTAGTTAAGGAGACAATTAGGTTAAGAAATGTGTAGATTAAGAGAGCCACTATGAGGGGCATTTGTAAAACCCTCTATAAATAAATATAGATTAAAAAATATATATTGTTGTACAACAACGTTCGTAAACAAATAAAGTATAATTTATTGTTATTATAAATAGCCATATTTTTAACAAAAAACGTGTTGTTTTTTAATTAAACCATAGTTTTGTTTGATAAAACGAGACCGCAGATCCCATGGTTACGACTAACTTGACAGGCTCCATGGACACCTGGAAATAATTTATAGGCCTAATTGACAATCGAGTAAACGTTTTCGAGCAATTAATGCTTGATCAAACTGCATTCGATCTCAAGTAGGGAACCCTTTTTGCGAATTGTGTAAGCCTAAGAACTCCGTATCTTACCTACTTGACAAAATAATACCTTCATTGACGTATCCAATTTCATACAGCTAAAGCTACCTAGGCAAGGTGTAGATCTAGATGTACGTAGGACTGGTAGTAGGCTAGATGTAGGTAGGTAGAAGCAATAAAGTTTATTGCGTCGGCGGCTGGATGGCGCCGTACTGCTTCCCGGGGTCGATGACACCGCATGGGGATGAAAATTTAAACTTTGCGTACACAATGTATTTTGAAACGTTTAGTTATAGAATATGTTAAAGAAATAAAGTACCTACAACTGTAGCTACCCAATTCTAACATAGAAATCTTTTAAATTTAACATAGGTTACGTTTTTTTCAATGTGTAAACTTTGAATAGAAGGTGAGGCTTTTGTGAGGTTAAAACTCTACATAAAAGAAAAATAGCGTGATGAATATTTATTTACTGTACGTGAAATGCTTGGATTGCAATTGATAATATAACGAAGTACTTTTAACTACACCATAGACAAAATCGTAATTATAAAACTTTTTTTATAAAAAAATGACCTCTTAGTTTGCGGAATTACATATATTCGCCAAGTTTTATTGAAATTGGTCAACGGAAAGGAGGTGAAGTCCAATAAACCAGATTCATCCCCTAAATTGCCACTTTTGGAGGTGAAATATATTCGTGAAATTTGAATGGTACTACTAACTACTATTGAAGTATCCGATTTCCAACAAAAAAAAAGAATCACAGAAATCGGTTCAGAAATGTCAGCAGAGTAATCGTGTAACATAGTCAAAAAGCAGTCTCAGTCAGTTTTTTTTTAAGGACAAAAAAGGACAAGGAAAAGGGTGAGCTGAAGGCTCATAACCCATAAAATAAACCTAAAGCTAAGTAGCGGGTCTGAGGGCGCCCAAGTGGGCACGGACCTCGGCTCAGGGCGCTACTGAAGACTTCCGCCAGAGGGGCGTGCTATAGGAAAGAATCTACCAGTGTACGTGCTGAAATGAGGGGCTCTAAGACCTCGCCGGCGAGAACGGTTAGTGCATGTGGAGATGGAGGACTGATGTGCGATCTGATTGGCCTTCAAACTGGCGAGAGTGATAGGGTCGTCAAGGTCGTTGAGTACTTCCCTTGGCCGATGGGTCCTACATAACAACACGACACAAAAAAAACTCGACAAGCGCATTACCATGCGAGCTACATTACTTATACTATAGATACATTGAAGATTCTTATGGCTTGCGAAAGAGGAATTCATGCTATGGAAAATTGGGCTTGACTATAAATTTAAACTGTGGAACATTGTGGAATTTTCAAAAAAAAAGTTTATTTTCTCTACTGACGACACAAACTTTGATTTAAGAAGCATATGATCGCCATTTCAGAGTTTAAAAAAACTAATTCGTATACGTCGAAAACAGATTTTAAAAATTCATGTAATACGAACACCTGCTGATAAAATAATAGCAAATACGCGCCACCGACACACTGCTTCAACTTCATTAAGCTTCATCAAAATATGTTAAGTGTATGGAAGCCATAGTTGTCCTGAATTTATATAATAGGGGTTAAAGTATGAAATTGCCGATTTGTACTGAAAATCTAAATTGTTTATTTTTTAAATTTTTAACAAATTTATTTAATCAAAATAGTTGCCATTATTATCTATACATTGCTGCCATCTAATGGGAAGGTTATTAATGCCTTTGCGATAGAACTCCGACGATCTAGACTGCACAAACTGTGTGAAAGCATTTTGTACTGCCTCCTGGGAAGAAAACTTCTTGTCACGTAGATAATTGTCCAAATCACGAAAAAAATGGTAGTCCGTTGGAGCAAGGTCTGGTGAATACGGAGGATGACGAATGGTTTCTAACTGCAGTTCCTGAAGGGTCAAAATGGTTTCTCGTGCTGTGTGAAGTCTCGCGTTGTCGTGGAGCAATAATGGTGAAGATCGATTCATGAGTCGGGGCTGTTTTACTGCTAGTTTTGTCAACATGGTTCGGAGTTCGGCACAATAGACATCTGCCGTTATTGCTTGACCAGATCGGAGAAAACTATAGTGAATAACACCATGCTGAGACCACCAAACAGTTACCATTACCTTTTTATTGGTAAGTTTTGCTTTAGGACACTGTTGTGGCATTTGACCTGGGGTCAGCCATTGCATTTTTCTTTTCCGGTTATCATAAAGAATCCACTTTTCATCACATGTTACAATTCGATCCAATATTCCTTCATTTCTGTACCGGTTCAACAAGGCAACACAAGTTTCAACACGCGTTTCTTTCTGCAGATCAGTCAAATCATGAGGCACCCATTTTTCGTATTTTTTTATTTTATTGATTTGACGCAAGTGAGTCAATATTGTGGGTAAGGTAACGTTAAACCATGCCGCTAATTCCTGGGTAGTTTGACTAGGATCGGCTTTCACTATCTCTCTTAATTCATCGTTATTCACCTGTGTCTTCCTCGGGTCTTCCTCGTGCCTCGTTCTTTAAGTCGAAATTTCCATCACGAAAGCGTTTAAACCAAAATCGCACGGTGCGTTCATTAGTAGACCCCTCTCCAAACGCAGCATTGATATTGCGGGCTGTTTCTGCCGCGTTAGTTCCGCGTCGGAACTCGTATTCAAAAATCACTCGAATTTTCGCAGTATCCATCTTTCTTGTCTAAATTGAATAACAAAAACAATTGAAAGTCGATATTCAAATGTTTCAAATTTAAAAAAAAAATCACAGAAACCATTTGAAAAAAGTTTCATTCGAAAACCTCAAACCATGAAGATTCTATGAAAATTCAAAGAACCTATTGCAATAAAACGGCAATTTCATACTTTAACCCCTAATACTATAGTAAAGCACCACAAAGTAAAAACAATGCAATCACCACACGCGACATTCTAAAATTTTGAACTGCATAGAACAACATTGTAAGTGTTCATTCAGCTGTACAGATTATTTACAGCTTTTATGCATTGCAGTGCTGTTTACAATATGCAACTTAAACCAGATTATTTGAGACAATTTACGATTGCAACACCACTGATATAGAATTACTACTAGGTCACGGAAACACCTCGTAAAATTTGTCGATTTGGGATTTCGCCAAATAGCCTAACCGAGGGCTTGTATGGGCATCGAATACGCTCCTTTACAAATAAAGCTATTTTTCTGATTTACTACGGTAAACATTATGTAGGGATGTTTTTTGGCACAATAATTCTTAACCCATTTATCTAACAACTTCTTCCATAAACGATTAGATTATTTCGAAGTCGGAAGTGTCAACGCAAATTATCGTTGATTGTTCACGCAAAAGCATGTGTGATTTTGAATTTTTCCAAAAAATATCAAGTCTTCCCCCCAAATTATAAATGACCGACTGACCTTGCAATCCTGTGGATTCTCAGTAATAAGGATACACATTACAATTCGATTTTTACTGTATTTTTTAATCGAATTATTCCAATGCTATTTTCTAGCGAACCGATTCAATAGAAAGGCAAATGTCGATCTTCTAGATCTTCTAGAAACCATTAAACATTTTCTAATAAAATTTGAACAAATCTCTATTTACAACAAAATAATATATATTTAGTTTAAATAGTTTTTCCCGATTTTGAGCATTAATGGGTTTTAACCAGATTTTAGCCCGGCTTTTAACTAAGTGCCTGGTTAAAACCCGGGCACTTGCCAATCTCTGATAACATTAATAAGAGAAATAAACTGGAAAATGTATTTCAGGATTTGTCTTGCAAGATTTTTTAAATATATATCCAATTATCTTTTCTTACGTATACCTATAGGATCATTGTATAGGATTTGTCTTGCAAGATTTTTGAAATATATATCCAATTATCTTTTCTTACGTATATAGGATCATTGTATATTATATCAGTCAATAACCAACAAAAGTCCCCAGGTAATCCCCTTTTAGAATAATTCTCCGGTTTCACTTTTAATATACAGCATAGATTTAGTATATATACTAAATCTATGATATACAGTATATTTAGTAGGTTTTATTTTTTGTTATTCAATAATGGCAACACTACTAATTGACAGCCAGCCAGCTTTCCGTCAGCGTACGTATTTATTTCCTAAATTTAGGAAATTATAGAGATACTCTCATAATAATTAATATTTGTCATATTCATTCTTATCAATATAACATTTGTACAATGTGTGATTGTAGAAAAAAGTGCCTTTAAAGAAAATAAACGTGGACGCGTGGACCCGAATAATGTTGAAAGATGTCGTCGATTTTTGGATTGTACAACAGAACAAAACGAAAGTGAATAGTTGACCGTGTTACTTTGTGAATAGTTGGAGTTAGTAAACTTAGTTTTAGTGTAATAATGGCGCAGACGGTGAGGCGCGCGATTGAGGGGAGGTATCCTTCATGCTATGATCCGAATAGAATTAAAGAACGAAGAGCAAAAGCCAGGGCTCTAAGGTAAGACAAACATAATTTATTTCACAATTTTCTATAACGCAGATATTTCATCGCTTATAAAACTCCATTTAGCACTTCGAAACCAAAGCCTGCCGACTTAGAAATTAATAATGATAATTATATTAAACTAGTACGAAAACATCGATGTTTTTTGTTCCATGTCATTGTATGAATTTTAATGTTACATTATTTGAGCTGTAATAAGTTTTGTCACACCTTAAAATAATTCAAAACATGAAAAATATTATACTGTGTCAATTATAAATATATTAAATGTGAATAATGTCCTAGAAGCAACTTCCTTGTTGTGTTTCTGACTGTACAATTACAATTACATATTATTTTTAACATTGTACATTTGATTTTTGACTAGTGGTTAGCATTGTCAGCGTTAAATGAGGGAGACCGAGGTTTGAATCGTGATAGGACCCATTGGGGTAACAAACTTTGTAAAATGGTTTTATCTTGCGTGTTACTGGTAGTGTTGTAGTAAAAACATATCAAAATCAAATATTATTGGAACGTCACATGTTAGTCAAACATGTAAATTCCCGAAAGCTGCTATTACGCACTGATAGATTCGCCATGGGCACAAAAATTCAAAATGGGGACACAGTCCCATGTCTCATACTAAGTTTTGATTAAGTGCCACTCCTACCCAACATTTTGGCTATATGAGAAGAGCACTATAGCGAGTAAGCCTGCATCGGTTTCTTATCGGTCAGGTACTGACCCCAGATCAACCCGTTGATACAGACCTCATCCGGTTCTCAAAGTTCTTGCCAAGGCACCCAAGGGTGAGCACCCCACTTACAGCGCCCTTCTTATAGTCCAGATAAGTACCGGAGCTGTTGGCACTGCTAACATGACGACACAAAAATTTTTGAGCCAAAGTTGTCTATGGAGTGGTGCAAAGAGCAGGTTTCAACAACTTTGAGTGTCTGAAGCCTGTATATGTGTTTATAGCGTATTTCAAAATCTGACCCTCTTGATTCAACATTAAGTCTGATCTCATGGTGGTTAGGTATCAAACATGAAGGTATTTTGTCAAAATAACCATCATATGATGGCTATTTTGACAAAATACCTTCATCCTACAAAACTGAACTTTACACAGAACTTTACACCCCTCTCTTTGGTTGTGAAAAGCTTTGATGGAAATGGCCAAGGGATTCACATTGAATTGATAAAACATTCCTCATAACAATCTGATCAGGTAAATGATTTGATTAGAAACAGTAGTTTCTGTAATCAATATACTATGTAATATATAATATGTAAATCAATAAACCATGATGTTTAGTGATTATCATTGAAGAAGCTACTTTCTTTAAAAAACTGCACCATTTATTTCAATTTTACTATAAGGCCTTTAAATTGGTGATTAAAATATTGTGTATCAATCTGTCATTGTTCAGAAAGGTTTAGGTCATAATTTACTATGTTGATAATACATATGCATACATACATCACGCCCCTTTCCCATTGGGATTTATTATTTCTCCTCATTAACACGCATCAGTGCTTGCATATAGGCTTGTCGGTAAGGCTACTCTGTTGATAATAACAGATAATATTTGCAAACATCTAACGTGCAGGTTGCCCCTCATTGTTTTCTTTTGGCATTAAAATATTTAAAGAAATAAGTATTCATCAAGAGATTTTAAAAAGGATTTAATGTCACAGATGCCAAATTCTTTTTCTCATCATATTGATGGCATACACTATACGTCTACCAGCATGGTGAAAGGGTTTGCCAATTAGAGTAAAGTACTTACCGATCGTTCAATCGATCGACCACGCTTACTAGAAGGGAATGGTTCGTCGTGCAGGGAGGCTGCTTTTGTGTGCCCCACACCAGTATTCTAACTTAGACTCGCTTTTAAAAACAGAAAGAGTCACTAATAACCATATTGTACATTTTTTACTTTAAAAATACACTACCTTATAAATAATTGGATTGGAAATGCTTTTTCACAGAAATGTAAATCCATTTTCAGACTAGAACAACAAAGGAAGCCTGACAAAGTAGAAGATTTTGTCTGCTACTCAGACAGTGACAGTGAGGAGGAGACCCCAGCTCAACAGCACCGCATTCTCTCCACGTCGTATAATTTTGTAGACTATGTACGGTCAAGAGAAATACTTGCACCAGAGGTCAGAAGCTTTATTTGCAATTTATTATGTTATATTTATCAGCTTAAATTAAACTTCAAGGAAATACAATTCTGAGATTTCAGAAGGTTACAGGATTACACATCACATTTGCCTTCTCTGTCATCGAGATACTATGAAATATACAATACATACACAAATAAATATTGTGAGATGGTCACCACCTAAACCTCAAACCATATCGAGTTGAAACGAAAAAAGTTGGAACTATTGTTTGGATCTAAGTTGAGTAAATTTGTTTTTTCAAACAAACCAACGTCTCGGGCCCTTACAGTTCCTATGATTTTTTCAAATAATTTCAAGTGACGGGACGAACAAGTAGTGCGCGTAGTGGTAAGCGATACGCCTGTCCATAGCAGTTGCAGTGCCACTCGAAGCTTTAAATCACGAAGATCTGAGGGGCACAGCCACTGCGCCCGTCACTCTGAGACACTTTACTTTAGTTACTTCCATAGTATAATGTCCTACCAGATTCTCATGTGGGGTAAAGCGCAGATATACAAACCATATTTGTGTTGCAAAAACGAGTGATTCGTTCTGTGTACTGTTTAGGTTCTCGGGTTTCTTTCAGAGAAAAGTTTAAGGAGACTGGTATCATGACTGTGGCATCACAGTACATTTACTCAAATATTTTGTATGCCCGTAAAAATATACATAATTTCGTTAAGAAAGAAGATATCCATAATATTAACCTTAGAACTAAGTCCAAACTCATGGTACCACATTTTCGTTTAGCTAAGGTCAACGATTCTTTATTCTTTTATGGGGAACTGTATACGTTTTACAGTAAGATTCCAAAGCATATATTAAGACTACCATTTCCTAAGTTTAAAACTGACATCAAAAGTATTTTAATTGAAAAGTCACATTACAAAATTGTAGAGTATGTTTTAGATAAAGAAGAATGGAAAAACAACATGAGTCTGGATTCCACACAAATATGATTCAAAATCTATTCCATAGCATTTAAGTTTATTTGAAAAGAGCAATCCCTAGAGTTTCTTGCTCTTTCTTCTCAGGAAGGTCAGTGTAGTGAACGAGCAGTAGCTTAAATAAACGTTTTCAAGTGTAAAAACGCAAGCCTTGTATGACCATGACTTCTATGTTTAGTTATAACTACTGTCAGTGCAACTTGTACAAAATAAATATAATTAAATTCGCAAATAGAGAATGGCACCAAAACTGATAGAATCTTATCATAAATGTTTAATAATAATCGCCAAAACAAGTTGTGATGTCATGTGACCTTGATCACGCAGGTTTTAGATAAAGATAGTAAAAGCAATCCTACCATGACTTTCACTTATAACATTTAACGTTTGTATAGCAACTTCAACAGAAAATAACAAGTTTCCTTAAAGGTCGTTTGTTATCAGCACGCATGAGCACCGCACGTCGGTACTAAACATGCGTTTTATGTGGAGCATCGCTATGAAACTACTGCTTATAATGTGGCATCTTTTTTTATGGTATAAAATGACTGGACGAACTAGTCGAGTCGCATAACACTCACTCCCGTACATTTCTACACAAGTTTTGTGTATAGTGACACTCTCTGCCGACCTTTAAGGTATACGAGAAGGGTACTATAAACCTGTGCAAGCAAGCCTACACAGGGACCTTATCAGTAAAGTCCTGACCACAGACAGCCCGTTTATACAGACTTCATCTGGTTCTCAAAAGGTTAATGCCTTGGGTGAGCTGCCTACCCATTGTTCAGATAGGTACCGGAGCTGTAGGCATGCTCACTTCTCGTTGCAACTAACGGATGCCACCGCTAAGCCGTTGACTCTACAGTCCAATACCAAATCTCCACTTTGGTGACGGAGCTGTAGGCACGCTCACCTCCCGACGCCGAAGCGTCTCTCCAGTTCCCAGAAACCTACGCGTCAGGAGGGACCGGAGAATATCTAGCTCATCCTCTATAACTATGGTGAAAAATGGGGTGGTTTGCATTAATATTAGACAATTGTTGATGACTTTATCATCTCGGTCAACCGTGACCATGGGACCTGTGAAGGGCCTGAAACGTTGGTTTGTTTTAGGAACAAGTATAAGTTTCCCATCTATTTTAGCGTTTCCCGAAAATTACGTTTTCGAATGTCATTTTATTTTTGAGGGCGCGTATCTGTTGTCGTTTTTCGGCCTAAAAGCTGATATTGAAGCGCGTTTGTTCCAGGCGCGCACGGTGGACCCGTCGTATGCGACGCGACATATGCTCACCCACGACATGTTCCGCGAGACGCCCGTGGCGCTCGGCAACATGAACAAGGTGTTCTGCTCGCAGTGGCTCTCCGACAGGCAGGTCGTCTTCGGCACCAAGTGCAATAAGGTAAGTGGTAAGGTCATCGGCAAATGATTCAAAAAGACAAGAGCTATGTGTCTATATTGCACCGTCTGTAATGGAGTGACTGTAAGGAGATTTTGGAATGAAACCACTTTGTTACGGAGAGTGCAATGTGTCCGGTGAAGTATTGCACTGACCAAGACTAACAGGCGGGCGTTCGCAGCTGATGGTGTACGACGTGCGCACGCGCGCGCTGGACGCCATCCCCACGCTGCGGCCGCGCGCGCCGTGGGCCGGCGCCGACCACCAGACCGGCATCCACGCGCTGCAGATCAACCCCTCCAGGTAGCCCCGCGCTTCTGCCGGCTGCTTCTGCCCGGGCGCTTGCTTCCTCTCTGGTCACGGATGGACCTTTTTTTGTGTAATATTAAGTGACGGGACGAACGAGTCGTCTGCCTGGTGGTAAGCGACACGCCTGTCGCATCACAAAGATCTGAGGGGCACTGCCACTGCGCCCGACACCCTGAGACATAAGTTGACAAGTCCCATGTGCCTGTAATTTCACCAGCGCCCTTACCCTTCGAAAGCGGGACACAGCAATGTTCACATGAAAACTGGACTGTTGTACAATTGTGGCGGATGTACTGTTTTTCCACCACGTTTCAATAAAACGATAGAATGCTAAATCACATAAACTACAAAATATTTCATTTCATTGAATGCCATGATGTTATACTACCATGATATTCATATATTTATTGCGAGAATACTCCACCAGTTTTTAGAAATATAATTATCTGCTTTTTCTTTGTAATATTTTTCAAATGTTAATCATGCGCTATAATTATTTTCTGAATCTTAACAAATATGCCTATCAATAGATGACAGTGTGTATTATAAATTAATTACAAAAACAACGCTTGCTAACATTTTTAGATGGCGCTAATTGTAAACAGAATAACACATTTTTTTTGCCAGCAGTATCCTTTAAAATGTATGCAATAAGCGCCATCTAGTTGAGTTGTTTGTTATTACTAGAAAGTAGCTTTGATAAATTGCAGTTTGTCAATGTAAATCAAATTAATTACAAAAATAACTTGAATGACGGGACGAGCAAGTCGTATGTCTGGTGGTAAGCGGCTTACGCTTTTAATCACAAACATATGAGGGGCACTGCCTCTGCGCCCGTCACCTTGAGACATAAGTTAATAAGTCCTAGGTGCCTATAATTACACCGGCACCCTTATCCTTCAAAACCGAAACGCAGTAATGCTTACATTACTGCTTGGCGGCAGAAATAGGTAAGGTCTCTATCTCTACTGCTACTAAAAAGCTAAAGCTATTTGGTACTCGTTGCGACATCTAGTGCATCAATCGGTACTAAATACTCGTCTACGCTTTTTTGTTCCGCGATTAACAGACCTCTGGAGTTATTGGTGCATGGTATCAATAATAACTACAATCAAAATAGATAGGTTTTGAGGCCCTCCTTGGTAGAACTCTCACAAGGAACTACTGCTGGTGAAATGTGTCCGGAAGTGTATAATGAGGGGACGAATTTTGATGTGAACAGAACGTTGCTGGCGACAGGAGCGCGCAACTCGTGCGAACTGGCGATCTATAGCCTGCCCACCTTGGACCCCGTCGCCGTCGGCGAAGCGCACAAAGACTGGGTATGTTTTTTTTTTCAACAATAAATACAATAAAATCTGCTTTATTTGACATGCAAAATATATAAATTTCAAACATTAAACAAAGAAGAAGAAAAAAAGAGAATAAAACCAAGTTATAATAAAAAAGCATATTCGAAAGGGTCCTTGAGTATTATCTAGTATATAATCAGAAATAGAGACGCAATAAGGGCCATCCGTTCCTGGTAACTTATCAGGCAAATGGGCCTTATATCACTTTTTAACCGACTTCAAAAAAAGGAGGAGGTTCTCAATTCGACTGCATGTTTTTTTTGTATGTATGTTACGCGATTACTCCGGTATTTGTGCACTGATTTTCACGATTCCTTTTTTTGTTGGTAAGAGGGTACCCCCTTAGTGGTCCTATTTAATTTTGAAGAAAATCATCCACCTCTAAGAGTGGCTGTTCACGCATGAAGATTCATTTTTATAAATAGCGCCTAAGTTTTATTATAAGGAGCAATTATTTTAATGGTTGGTTTTGCTATTCTCTAATTCAAGGCGTTTTTCTCTGTCAATGTACTTTGAGTAGTGAGAACCGATTTTTGTTATCTCCTGTGTCAAGTTCCGTATAGTGGCGACCTTCCCGTAACCGATTTCAAAAAAACTTGATAAAAAGATGTAATTCCACGTACTTTTGAGGTCGGTTTTTTTAGTGCGCTGTACTGAGATTATTATAAATATTAACTCTCGTTTGCGCTGAAATCACAAATTAGAAGACTGAAATAGTACAGCGCCAACAACTGACTTGTGTGTACTTGGATTGCACGGATATGTTCGAGCGTCCTAATTTGTGAGGTATAGGCCAGCCAAGCGGGCTGGTGAGTTAGCTGACGGCGGCGGTGCGCCCTGTGTGCAGATCCTGGACATGTGCTGGCTGGACGACGAGTTCGTGGTGACGGGGTCCCGCGACAGCAAGCTGGCGCTGTGGCGCGCGCCGCTGGAGCCGCCCGAGCTGGCGCCGCACCACGACTACGTGGCGCCCGTCTGCCTCAAGGAGTGCCGCTCGGGTGCGCCGAATTTGCAGCCTAAGGCTCCGCTCGCACTGGCGCAGAGCGAAGGGCCAGCAAGTAACGCGCGACGACGCGCAGCTCCGTATTTGCATGACACAAATTTTTACCTTAATACTGGGAAAATAGAGATGAACTTGGTATAGGCGAAAGCATGACGCGTCGCGACGCTTCGACTCTGCGCCAGTGTGAGCTGAGCCTAAGAAACTCATTCGTACTCGTATATCATTTCGATACCTCCAATGAACATTACGCCGACTTTTTTTGGTCATTTTCCGTTATTTTTGTACACAGCCATATATTACATATTTTTTACTAACATTATGCACCCCGAAAACAAACGAAAAACAGAACAGCTCCAAAAATTAATTTGGCGTAGTGTTTCATTGGAGGTATCGATTTGCAATATTTCTTTCAAATACATCGATGCCGTAATGAAATATTTCGAAATAATAACGAAACAAAATTTAATTACTGAGCAGCAGTAGAGCTCCTTGTGAAGAAGTTCGTCCAATGAAGTACTACCTTACCTATTTCTATCACCAACCAGGAATGTGAGAATTACCGCGTTCCGGTTATGAAGGCTAAGAGTGCTGGTGAAATTACAGGCACATGGGACATGTCAAATTATATCTCAGAGTGATGAACGCAGTAGCAATGCCCCTCAGATCTCGGTGATTTAAAGCACTGAGTAGTACTGCAACTGTTATGGACAAGCGTGGCACTTACCACCAGGTGGGCGACTTGTTCGTCCCGTCACTACATGTAGTATACATTAATTAAAACTTCAGCGAACTTCAGTATGCCAAAATTCAAATTAATGAAATCTGTTTCAGAATACATTGTTAATATCGTGTTTAATGTTGAATACAGGTCAGAAAGTGCGTGCGCTGACGTTCAATCCGCGCTGGCGCGAGATTGCGGCTTTAACCCTGAACGGCTACATCCACGTCTTCAGCGCGGAGACCTTCCGACAGACTCTCTCGCGCAAGCTGCCCTCCTGCCAGGACCTCGTCTGCCTCGCCACGCAGGTACAACTAAGATTGACATTTGTTAAGTAAAACTGGTTAGAATAGCACTCGAAAGTACTACATGTGTTAGTATATACAGGGACGCCAAGGTAAAAAAGGAATATTTAAGAAATCCTAATGAATTCGGTTTCTACTTCTGAATAAATCTTGTGCCATATTCCGATTATTTTTCCCAGTCGATGTGGGTTTGATCCATAATGTGTCTCAGGAAAGCGGCGTGTACGCCATCGGCTGCAAATCGTACACGCTGCTGCTAGACTGCCGCACACTGCAGTCGATCAAGAAGATCACGTCGCGCTACAACGGCTGCGGCATCCGTTCCGCCAGCTTCCGCGGGAACATGCTCACCATCGGCACTGGGCTCGGTAATTTCTTTTATTCGAAAAAAAACTGGTATTATCGGCAAATACAAATAATAATGTGCCTGACAACCACACTAACTGCCTGATCTCAAATTAGGAATAGTTTGTTATTTGTATTATATACAATTATTCGTTTGCGATTATGTTCCGTGTAAAATCATTGCATAGTAAGAACAGTAATGGACCTAATATGGGTCCTTGTAGTAAGTACACTTCATTTATCGCATATTTGTTTAAACAAAATTATTTCACTAAAAGAAATAAGTATCAATTAGTTAATTATGGTGAGATTGTATTATGTGTAACGCTGTACTGTGACTACCCAAATCGTATTGACCTGTAATTAATACGTGACAAAAGTCAAAGGCCTTTAAAAAATCAAAATATAAATATAAATAATATTTGTTGCAGGATTGCTAATGTTCTACGACTTGAGAGCGGGCAAATACTTAGAGAGCAATATTCATTCATCAAAAACGGTTACGTTGAGGGCTTCCAGAGGCTACGTGGTAAGCGACAGCTTTTTAATTCTTTCGTATGAAGTTACGCATCACGTTAATTCGTCAGCTAAGTGAGTAATCGTGAAACGGTTGCGCAGTTCCCCGACGAGGAGGCGGACGGCTTCAACCAGGTGAAATACGTGCCGGCCATCTACACGCACTGCTACGACGACAGCGGCACGCGCGTGTTCACGGCCGGCGGCCCGCTGCCCGCGCCTCTCATCGGCAACTACGCCGGCCTCTGGCAGTGACGGCGGTACTCCTGGTTCCTTTCATCCGGTCGACGATGTTGTACACCGGCCTCGGCAGTACGAGCCGTTTTATGGGTTTAGTTAAAACCCGAAAATTCACTGCAACATATACTCGGACTGACCAATAGGGTAATTCTAAAACGCAGTCATCAAATTTGCCATTTTTATGCCAGTGCTGCCGGTGTGCGATATGTAACTTGACAATGAAAATAATGAGTTATTGTACGTCTGAGCCTCAGTGTTGCCATTTTATACCGTCCTGAAAATCAAGTTTATTTGATAAAACGATGTTTTACCACCATGTTATTAAATTATTTTCTGGTATATACAAATATCGTTTACAGTGTCGACTGCCTGATGAATATAAGATCTATAACAGACGCAGAAGAAATTTGTCAACTCGATAACTCGACCTGTAGCTTAGTTGGTAAAGCAATGGAGACGGAATCCCGTGGTCGCAGGTTTGAGTCCTGTCGGGTCGAACGATTTTTTCTTTGCGTCCGATCTTTGTATTTAACAATTATAACAATCAAGTTTTAATCAAATAACTGAGGTGTTTGAACAATGGTAAAATTAATAAATTGCCCTTAATAAATATACCGTTGCCGACGGTGTTCTTCGTTATTATTTTTTATTTTATTATTTTATCTGCATCGTAGTAAAAATTGATAATTAAATGGTAACCCTGATGCTGAAACCCATAACCATTGTTTCATTGTCGGTCAGTTTATACGGCTTAGTATATAATATTATGTTAGGAAAAAAAAAGCGAAAATGTGCGTTAAAAATACATTTGTAAACATCGAGTATGTAACCAGAAATGGAAACGAAATTTCATTTAATTTGTTTGAAAACTATTCTGCCAAATTATTACGGTGACGACTGCGCTCCGATTGCTCAGCCCGAATTGACCTTGAGCTTTGCTATAATGGACGAAAATTGCAAAATTACATATTTAATATTTAGTTACTGCTGAAATGTGATTCCGTTTGTTTTGTAATTACATGTTTTGCTGTTTTTCCCACACCACCGAATGGAACAGCCCCCATTGTTAGAGATATTATCTTCATTACAATAAATACAGAATATTTTTGGAATATACGGATACGTACACACAGGTCAGTTGTTGGCGCTGTACTATTTCAGTTTTCTAATTTGTGAATTTGCAATCGAGAGTTGATATTTAAAAGTAATATAAGGCCCATTTACCTTATGAGTTGCCAGGGATGGATGGCAGTTATTTGGTCTCTATTTCTGGTTATATACTCGATGTTTATAAAATTCTAAGAAGTTATGTGATTTGTCTAGTAGCTTGTAACTACAGGTGAACCGTGCCCAACGATGGCATAAGTCCTCAGGTTGCATAGTGACGCATTGTCTCGTAGTAGTCCTTAGTGAAATTGTAAAATATTTTTTTAGGTAGATTTTATTGATGATTTATTTTCATAGTGATATCTAGTATTCATTTAATTAAATTCTCCATAGGGTGATGTAAAATTAATTCCTAGTCTGGTTAACCACAGATTCTACACAAGATACTGGACAACTTTTCCCGAGTGTTTTGTATATGTATGACTTCAAATAATATATGATAATCGTAATCATTTATAATTGGAAATTACGTCACTACATGTCAATTTAGTACATTTAATGTCAACAAATGTATTGAATTGCATTATAAACTAATATTAAAGAGATTAGAAAAATAGTACCTACATACAATAAAATAACATTTAACATAAAGTGCGCTTGGAGCGCTGGTGACATGGTATGTGAACAATAGTCTTACAAAGAGTATCCATTGGATACTTACTTAAACTTCTAGGAGAATCGGCCATAAGAATGTAATTTGATTGCCTATGAAATAAAACACATTTTAGATTTTTTTTTGATAGTTTCAAAATTTAATTCGTAATTCATAAATCATTTATTTGTGGAAACAGATTATGGAATTTAGTGTCCTGCCCAACATTAGGCATACACACATATTGAAGTCATGTTGTGTACTTACACTTACAAACATCCTCTAAATTGTAAGCAAAAACTAAACTAACTCTTATACCCGAGTGTATTTTCTAGTATAAAGTATCGACGTAACGACGGTACCAGAAACACCCAGACTCGAGACAATACAGAAAAGTTCGTTTTTCTACATTGACCCGGCCGGAATCGAACTCGGGACCTCAGAGATGGCGACACCGTGAAAACTGGTGTGCAAGTAACCTAATCACGGAGATCGTTAAATGTACCTCGATGTACCAAATATGATATGCCTTAATAATTTAATAACATTGAACTAGGCTGTAAGATCTTGATCATTGCCCTCAGAGGAAAAAATACTAATGTCAATAAAATAAATAAATGTACTAGGTGTTCGAATTTTGAAATGATAAATCTCAACTTTGACATCAGTATTTTTTTTGCCAAAACTTGTGGGGAAAGTTGTTCAGTTTTTTGTAGGGTCAAGATCGGCTTTGCAGATCAAGAAATAATTTTAAATTATCTATATTTCTCATTATACTATTCTCATTATTATACAAAATTCGAAGGTTCCGCAAGTAAGGCGATGTACACTTAACCAGTCGGTTTTTGTACAGAAACGGTACTAAACGTACACCTAATTATTCTTAATGTTTTACTCGTTTACCCCGCTGCCCCAGGCGGTAATGTCTAATGGTAATGACTATTTGAAGACCAAGGGCTTCTTTTCCCGCGTTTATTTTAACGCTATTACCAAAAAAATTGTAATCATAATGACTCCATTCACTAACGAACAGGTTGGTCGTGTTCGCCAACATGTTCGCCATGAATGATGATGTTGGCCGACATGTTCGACATTTGTGACGCAAAATGTTGATTTTTATCCAACTTAGCCTAGGCATTCATTGCGAACACCTTGGCGGACGGCCAATATTCACAGTATATGAATGTGGCATCTATGCGAAATCGCCCCATATCGTTTACAAGTGTACTTTAATTAACAATGAATGAAAAATATTTTTCCTTGATTTCATTAATACTCCGTTACTTCCCAAATCCAAAAAATATTTTATAATGTCTCGTCAAAAGATTAAAATTAAACTATAAAATATGTAAATATATTTTTTTTAATTTAGAATATTTTTTATTTATGACTTATACGTGTCTTGTGGATTTTTGTATGTTGTTTGCGGCTAATGTGTTTGTAGACACAACATGTGTCAACAGGTAAATTGTCACACAAAGGAATCAGTGAGAGTCATATGCTACACTTGCAGACATAAAAACGTAGGCACATTTTTATTTAGCCATTTAAAGGAAGTTACTAATGTCAGTAGTAATATTTGATAATGTCAATTACAATAGTTTAGTTATCAATAGTAATTGTCTACTGTATCACAGCATCTATATGTTTTTGAAAAAAATGTGACAGTTAACTTAAGTCCGATATTACAGTCACGTCCTCTTTAACTAAATAACTCACGTATTTAAGTCTAATTTTTGGTCGACAAGTTTCGAACCAGTCCGTGATCCGTGAGCTACCGCGGCGGTGACTCGACGAAAATTTTTGCCGAACAAAAACATGAGCTCGACTTAAATACATGAGCTGTCCGTTCGTTTGTGTATGAGTCTCACTGTAGTTTTCCACGAGCCCTTTATAGATGTAACTTTCAGTTTTGACGCAAATAATTTACTTAAGCACTATTCAGAATTCCATATACGAGTAATATACTCGTATGTAAATAACAAGTTTTCGTCAGAATTTTAAATTACAAAAGGTGCAAAAATTAACCTTAATTAAAATCTTGCCACAAGGCACATTTTCTTGATTAATGTCACATTTTTTAATATAATAACCAAATATTCAAGTCTCGTGTCTTTTTCACGTACCATACGAAGGCAAAATAACCTATTAACCCACTTTTGAAGTAATTAATTTAACTTCATTTGTAATTTCCCTATGTTTTTAATATCAGTGCATTTACTTGTACTGCTAACAGCAGGTACACTTGCAGGTAATGTGAAAACTATTTTATATTTATTAATATTTAGTATTAAATAGTTGCGTGTATGTGTGTTCGTGGTGGCAATAAAAAGGGGCCAACAACGAGGAATAAGTCACCCCGAGTTTTTATATTGAATGAGCGCATTCGTTCAGATTCGTTATCACTCTATAATAAAATGACAGAATGCAAAAAATAACATTTGCGACACTGCAAAGTAGATTAAAGAAATTATAAGCACTAGCCATATATTGAAAGAAAGAAAAACATATATCGCACTGCTATTACAATAGTGTTATAACTCGACATATGTGAAATTAAAGATTATACCATAGTTAAACGTTAACTTTGAATCTCTACACGTCAATAAAACCATTGTTAGAATATTGTAAGAAGCAATTAAAAGATACTTAACTCCAAATGAGACAAACGTTTTGTAAGTTAGATCTGAACAAAGGAGTCCTTACTCTAAAGTCTGAAACTAACTTTTAGTTTTATTTGCTAAGTAGGAAATTGTTTAGACGTCTGTAATAAACTTTAGCCTATAAATACACTTTAATAATCTTTCAAGAGGAAGTGAGAGTAATTCGTTTTTCATCGATTCTGAAAATATAGAATTTTTGAGCTAATACACTGTTGTATTAAAAGTGCGATTTATTTGACTATCACACAACGAAAACAAAGAAACAAAACAGAAAAATATAAAACAATCAAATCATTCAAACGTAAAACACAAATAAAGGCGATCTCACTCGTCTTTCACAAAATAATAATTTCTACTAATCGTCATATGCGTAGGCACTTTTTTATATGAAAATAACTCATAGTTGACTGCCTCCGTGGCCGAACGGTTACCATGCCGGACTGCCACGCAGAGGTCCCAGGTTCGATTCCCGGGCCGGGAGAAATGTTTGTATGGCTTACATTTATTTCTCTCGTGAGTTTGGGTGTAATTTGTGGTTGTCTATGTGTGTGTCCATGGCACCCGCGACACAGGGTATCCCTAGTGCGGGGCTATGTTGAGTGTGTGCGTTATTTATTATTATTTATTATTATTATAGTTGAAAGCAGATATATATGTGTGTGTCGAATTTCACCGGCGTAAAATGGGTGCTAGAATTTTTTTTCTTTATGGTTAAAACAAGTGTACAATACACCTCGCATCTCACCTGACGGAAAGATGACGATATGGTCGACGTTGGAGCATGCACACCTATACAGGTGATAAAAAATCACTGGCCATTTCAAAGGAGCATACTGTGTAATGGAAATAAAAAAAATATGTTTGTTGTTTTTTTTTCTCAAATACTTAATAAATAAATAAGTTATAACGTCTCAAAGTTTTCCGAAAAATTGGGAACAATATTGACACCCGACGAGCAACAACGGTGTGGGGCAGTGAGCCGAGTCAGCTTGCGAGTTTATGTATTTGACAGAGAACAAAGTACAAAACTAACGCGCGATGCGTTAGCGCAGGTCTATCGTCGCGCGGCGCGACTAGCTGGCGCCTAGGCGTCTAGACAACTCGGCGCCTATCGCTCAATTTTATTTATTATTTTGAGGTAACCGCGTCTTAGAAATTGTCTAGAAATATTAACATAAAAAATAGGGACATTTCTTTTTTTTTATTTCACTAATGTGTTCTATTACTGTATCTTATGCAGGAAAAAATGGAGAGTGATTTTTTTATCAGTATAAGGCAAAAGGCCCAAATTATAACGTTCAGGGAACGAATCTACAGGCAAGAAACGCCACTTCAATGCCGTACGCCATTATGTGGAAACTAACGCTTTGTGCGCATCTCATAGGTATATATTCATTTTATTTTAAAGAGGAATCAGTTCTTTGTTAATTATTTACTATATTTTAATAATATCCGTAAAATTAAAGTTAGTGAAGGACGAGAGAATTGAAAGAAAGCTACCGAAACCGTCGCTGCAAATTTCAACACTATGTCAATGGCTCAAAGTACAATTTTATGTATAGCCCAATATAATTAATGTAAGCATTTCTCGAGCGGCGTTTAATAATACATCGCATTTTAAATTTATTATTAGTTTACATCGTGCCTTAATATTACGTGAAAATTTATGTAGTAGCACTGGTAGATAATAATAGATAGTGTTTATTACAAGCAGTACTTTTAATGTCGTGAATAGACAGCGTGAAAAAGTGACAGAAAACCCGTCTTATGAAAAAGCAAGACTAACACTGATTAGGCTAATACAAATTACTGAATTAGTATCGCGTTTTACGTTTGGCCCCTTTTTATTGCCGCCGTGTGTAATGCCGTATTACCTCAAATTATATGTAGGTGCAGTGACATACAATCGAATTTGTAAAAATTGTAGCAAGACACAATTTTGTGTAACTTTATATTGAACAATTATTATCTACATTGTATAAATTTTTAGTGTAATAAAAAATGTAACAAACATAAGCCAGAGACCGTTTTGAAGCTAGAGTAGCGACAAGTCGCTAAGTGTAAAATTTCATTTTAATTTTTGCCGCTATTAAATTCAGCTGCGTAATTTTTGCTAGGTCTAGATGTGTCTGTCAGTCTGAAAGATCTTAGGTAACCATATTCACACACGTTTACCCTCTCGTACAGGGTACATTTAAAGCAGTTTAGGGTAGTGGAGATGAATTTTAAGTTACCTGTATGAATTATTTAGTAAATATAAATATTGTGTATATAGGGTGCTTTTTATTTATTTGACAATACTTCAAGGGGTGATGCGTCACATAAACGATAATTTTATGATGTGAAGATTTTATTACACAACGCTCTTTTAGTACACTATTCGGCGTTCTGTGTGTATGCTATGCAAAATAATTTGAATAAGTTTTACGTAATTTAATTTAAAACCACCATTTATTGTACAGCTTGATGGGATGGCCATAGGAAACATTGAGACCCCATTATATCGTGAAATAAATAAATGACACCCTGTATCGACCAAAACCACTGTCCTTTTGTCTACAAAACTCCATTTACGATACTGATGCCTGTGACATCGGTTAGTCATATGTAGGAGAGATAATAATATATGCTACACAACCACACCTTTTACCTGGTCTCAAAATAGAGAATTCGTTTTTCGAATTGGTCCCACATTACTAACCGTTAGACTACTGAGGCGGTCAAATGTGTAACATGTCTTTTAAAAGGTTGACTACAGTTAGTTTGGGTAACTTGAAATACTTAACAGATCACTACGAGGCATCGAGTATGAGACGAAATGACATTTAATTTGTTTGAAAACTATTCTGCCAAATCATTACTGCGCTCCGATTGGCCAGCCCGAATTCGAAACAATTGACGGGTGTCGTCAATCGTCGTGTTTCCCACACCACCGCACGGAACAGCTGCCCATAGTTGGAGATATTATCTTTATTACAATGAATACAGAATATTTTTGGTACAAACGGAAACGTACTGTAGTATTTCAACTTTCTAATTTGTGACTTCAGTGGAAACAAGAGTTGATATTTAAAAGTGATATAAGGCCCGTTTGCCTGATAAGTTGCCAGGGATGGATTACCCTTATTTCGTCTCTATTTCTGGTTGTATACTCGATGCTACGAGGTGACAACTAAACTTCAAGCTTGTAATACCCAAAGTGGTTAAATACTACATTTTAATCTTGCGTTTTTTGCCTATTATATGACCGCTGTCACAAGTGTCAATTAGAAAAACCGTACACTGACTAACACGTTCGTTGGCAAATCGGATTGAAAACAAAATCAATCTGTTCAAATATATCTAATACAGAATATTACCATTAGCATGGATCTATAACTCTAGAGGACTGCTAATCTTAACTCTGTAAAAGGTCTAAAACCCATCTTACTTATCTTGGATGTAATTTATATTAGGTAAAAGTAAATGGGTATAAATTAAAACCTCTTTAATATGAAATATAAGTAGTAAATTTATTATCCTTGTATTTTTTTTTAATATTGAGCCATGATTTAAATGCGTACAATAGAAGGTATTGTGTGTTTTGAAATAATTTCTAAATCAAGCTTTGCTAATATGGGTAGATGGCGCTAATCGTAAACAAAACAAAAGAAAGTCGGCAATATTAATAGAGACATTGGTCTTTTTTTACGAGAGAACAATCCGACCAATATTTATTGTAAGGACAGCATGCTATACGTGCTACATTTTGTGCGAACACTCCGTTTTCTAAATATAAATAATAGTTATACTAATTCTTTTTTAAAAACGGAGGACAGATTATTTGTAATGTAAATTCAATTTGTTATATAGTGTAATTTAATAAGCAATGTTAAATTTATTAATGGGTGTATACCTAAATAAAGAAACATTTTATGAATTTAATATCCATAAAACTCTGTTTAATTATCGCCATCTAGTTGTTTTGTTTGTTAGTATTACAAATTAGAGTAACTTTGATTAAAAATGCAGTAGCCGCGACATCTAGCATACCTAGGTACTAAATACTCGCCTTGCATTGCGATCAGCAGGCCTCTCGAGTTATTTGCCCGTGACATTAAAAATAATTTATTGTAACTTCTAAATCTGCGGTGAAGGACTTGTTGGTCATCCAATGGCATCAATAAGTAATGTAATTAATATTCTAGATAATAGTTATATGTTAACGAAATTAGCAGTAAAAAGAGTGCGAAAGCTTATTTCATAGTTCTTAAACGAGTCGGTGTGTTTGTACTGTATTTCTTACTGGATATATTATAAAACCATAATGACGATTAAAAAAAAGACTTGATTATCAACATTTTAGTCTTATTTCAGTAGGTACCTCACAGTACATTAAAACATAACGGTAAACCACAAACGAAAACGTGATGAAACCAGCACGTCTAAACCTTAGTTTCCTAAAGGGGTCCCTACATCGTCCCTACCCCCAGTGGGCGCTGAAATCCTAGGGGGTAGGAGACTCGGAAGTAATTTTTGGGGGGTGCTACCGCACTTGAAAAACAAACCTACATATAAACTACACTATGTACATTTGATTATTACTCTCCATTCCGGTAATTTAAAGGCCAAATCACGTCAGCCAGCCAAATTAGCGTGATTTATGGGAATCTATTGTTATCAGCCCGTAGACAACATAAATACTTACTGTGTAAAAACTAAAGTCGTAGCCATTGAAATAACAAAGTAGTAACGTTAAATCCCTTTCCTGTGAAATTAGGTTTGATGCAGATACGCGCTTTTTACCAATAGTACATACGCGGATTTGCACAATACCCGAAGATGTATATAGGCTTAGAATAATAACGCGTAGAAACCTAGTCCGCACACGCTAAGTGAGGCAAATTGAAGCGCGCCCAATGGGCCTACACGAGCGGGCGGGCCGTCAGTGCTCAAGGTCTACTTGCACCGCGAACAGCTCCAGAATTTTAGCTAACAATGACGAAATGTGCGGTAAATGAGTGTAAAAATACGTCAGACAAACATAAATTAGATACTAACATCACATTCCACAAGGAAGTAACGCGTTTCAACTTGTATTTTTATATAAATATTCACTAAAACCGAAAATTAACCTACTACTGAAACTAGCCTACATGAATTTGATTTTTGCCTCAATTGTGACAGTTCGTTTGATATGAAACTATCATTCTATGCGTTATTATTCTAAGTATATTGGCATGTTCAAAGTATAATTACAATGTACATACAATTGTCCATTTGTGAGTGAAATAAAAATATTATTATATAAAGTGGGCGAGTCATTGGGAACCTATTAGGAGATAATCTAAAATAAGAGGTGACCAGTGCAGTGTGACGTATAAATGGATTGATGGTGAAACCACTGCAAGATTTTGGAACAATTTTTTTTGTGGTTTTTCTACCAAGTCTTCTGCGACCCCAGAGTTTTCCTTGCAGAATGAGTTATAGTAGCATTGACTTACAAATGATAGTAGAGTATTGTTTAGAACTCCGCAACCGTACCGTAGTTTCGTAAATGTATTTGTATAATATTATTACTTAGAATTAAAATAGGAAAAGGAAAAAAAAACAGAACATTAAAATACAATACACAATTTATTCAATAAGCTCTTATAAATGCAGCTTTCGGAAAGCTCCGTACCCACAAATCATGGCCACGCCACAGTATAAACAAGGACTGTTAAAGGTAAAGGTCATCTTAACTTTAGGTGCAGTCAAATTGTAGCCACACGATACATTTTGCAAAAGCTGGTTTCACAAATATCTTATCCAATGAAAAATTAATCAACAAAATCTGGCAAAAATTATAATTAGAAATTGTTTAGTACCACCCAACTAACTGCAATTAGATATCTTTTAGCACCCAACCTTTAGTAATTAGACATCTTTTGGTACCACCCAACCGACGGGTAGAGGTGTGCCTTCTCCATCGAGGTACTGATCCCATTTAGATCTGTAAGTAATACAAATTTATTCAATTTGTGATTCACCGGCCTTGTAGTTCATTTTTATTATAAAATTGAATTTTCTTTATCTTATATTTATATAACAACAATACAATACAAATAAAATACTCTTTTTTACACTTAACAAATAAAAGGTGTAGTGTACAACGGGCTGCCTTATTGCTCGATAGCAATCTCTGCCAGCCAACCTAGGATTGACAAAATAAACTTAAAAAATATAATAATGAAAGGTTGTAATAAAGCTCATGAAATGTTTGAGTTTTTAGATTTTTGCGAAATCAAACTAGTTCTTTGGATCTAAAACGCGTATACAGGCTGTATATTTGAAAGTGAGACATATTCATACATGTCATAGTAAATCATGTTACAACTTAACATAGACTAAAATAAAATTAGGATATGGGATAGAACAAAAAATAAATCAACAAATGTGTTTTGAAGTGTACATAGGAATAAACCGATTCCCTTTACGCTTAAATTTCGAGTGCAATGGGAATGCTACCAAGCGAGCGCCGAGTGAGATAGCAACAATAACAATGATTTCACATTTACGTTTTAGGTTATGTTAATTGTTTTTTACTTGAACTATCATCGAAATGTTTTAGTAAGTAGTTATCATTTAATAAGAATTGAGGTTTTTGGCGTAGTTAAAAATGTGAAATCAAATTAATTACAATTATTGATTTTTTAGTTATTTACAGTTTATTTACGTGGTACGGAGCAAGTGTTCAAAATGTCCACCGTTTTCCACAATGCATAGTCTAGCACGGCATAGTAAATTTTGTTTTAAATTGTACAACACAAACACATTTTGTCTCACAGTATAAAATGCTGAGATAATCCTCTCACGCAACGCAACAGTGTCGAAACCCTGTTCACCTCCTCCGCGTAAACTCCGATTTGGGAACATTTCAATAGCTCACACTATGACCACTTATTGCGTAAAGTCGCACCATCTCAGTCAATTCCACGTTAGAATAAATACCCATTTTGCGGCGATCGGGCGAGCGGAAGGACAAATAATTTACGTGTCTTCGTTAGATCAAGGTCGCGCGTGGACTGAGCAATTTCGGTTATGCGCCCGCGTTCTCACCCCCGACCTGTGCTTTCCTTTTCGCCGCTGCGTCGGAGCAATAATAGTGATGTGCATAGATTTCGATAACTAATGTTGTGCTCAAGTAGTAGTCGATAAAAAAAAATTAAAAAATATTTTTTGTAAACTTTAAGTTCATTAGTTTATTATTTTGGGTTGGGTTGAGAATCAGGAATATAACGCACTCTATAAGTATGTCCCACTTTCAAATATACAGCCTGTATATTTGTTTGTACAAATGAATCTATATATTAACACTATATTTGTACTTTGATGTATATGCATACATGTTAGTAACAATTTGTGTTGATAATAGCTAATATAATATGTGCTGTCTCTTTTGTTCTGGGGATCAATCTGTGCAAAAATGTCTTCAATACTCCCTCAGAGTCACCAAATTAATTTTCTGTATACACTCCCTTCATGATTTTTATGAAACTAGCATGAAACTGACACTTTCAGAATTAACACAACTAGTCTCACAAGCCATTCATTAACGAAAAAAAGTCCATGGTCACGGCTGACTGAAAACCTAAGAACCTGTTGATTTTTCCAGTTACATACATTTGTGAATATTTAGATATAACGGTGTAAGAAAATATTGTGGCGTAATCTGCGTATCAAAGAAGCAGTGGGATCTTCATAGCCTAATAATTTCGATATCAGACATTTAAAATAAGAAAATCCAAAAAATACAAAGCATGCTGTTTACGGTCCATGAATATTGAAAACAATAGCACATTTACGGTCGTATTCTAGAACTCTATTCAATGCTCAAGTCAGGATTGCACTGGAAACACAAGCACTGGAAATACGACCCTAATGGCAGGGACTTGAGTGTGATTTCGAGTGCTTTAAACCATACTCAAATCCTGACTTGAGCATTGAGTAGAGTTCTAGAATACGACCTATAGTCTGTCATGTATGTCAAACTTTTTGCTTATTATTCCTCACCTAACTTGGACAAAACTGCCAATATCACCGTTGAAGTCAACCTGCGGCGAGCTCCCACCAAATAAGAACTCCTGCCACTTATCCAAGTTATCAACAAACTCCTGCATTTGCTTGCTTTCTATGTTGCTTTCAGTATCTTGCTCCAGAGTAGCACGAAGCTGGACTTCTTCTTTATCGTAGATTGCAAGTTTTTCAACCCAGAGTTGCTTCAGTTTTTCTGAAAAAAAGAAACACAAATCGAGATTCAGATGTCATTGAATAGTCATATTTTCATTTTGCTATCTAGGATTCTCTGTTTTAAATATCATTAAAATACCTAATTATTAATACCTTACTACTTCACAATTTTTTTTACTGTGATATCTGGTCTAAGAGGAATATCCAGTACTTTGAGTACCACAGCATTGAACTTCACTCCAAGTCAATTCAGAAGTAATTAAAATTTTTAAGTTAAAATGGTCTCTTTTCAAAAATGGATTCTACCACTGCAGTACTTCTGTATCTCAATCACATTATTTATTATATGTATTTAGACTAAATTAGATAGACAATAGAGCACATTGTATCCCATATGCGATCTCTAATAGTTTAAAAAGATACTTGCTAGACTACGACAAAAATCATTACCTTATTCAACATGAGCAAACATTGTAAAGTTGTTCAACACACTCAACTTACCAATATTATTGTTGAACACCTCCGCATCCCTTTCCACAACACTTTCTCCCCTACCCTTGGCCGTATTCTGCTTCGCGCGGCGCAGCTTAATTAATGCGTCGAGCTTCACGAGGTACTTCTTTGCGTCGTGTTTCTTTCGTATGACTTCCTTTAGAACTATGTCTGCTTGGATCTTGGACGCTTCTTCCTGCAAAAAATTTCAAATGTCACTTACATTATAAAAAATAATATGTCAAATTGAAACTAATGGGTAGGCCAATTCTTTGCATGCAAGTTTAACAAGACCACCCGTTACGAGGCGAAATTTTGCACTAGAGTGTCCTGCATAGATAAAATAATCTAAAATTATTGGCATTACAAGGTTGTCATTCCAGTATTACAGATCTTTATAGACAAAATTGGTGTTTCCTCAACACAACAGAAAATTAAAGATCTTACCTGTTTAGCTCTCCTAATGTCATCTTGAATCTTCTGGAGATTCTCATCAATCCTCCGAGATCTTTCCTCCATTTCTTTTATATGATCTTCTTTCTCTTTCTTCCTTTCCAAGCAAAGTTTATTCATCCTCAATCTCTTCGCAGATCTTTTTGCCAGTAACTTAGTAAGTGTATCTAAGTAGGATGTTATTTCACCCATGGTTTCATTGATTTTTTGTTTATTTTGCTCTATATCTGCCAATATACTTGACCATTGGGTTTCGGAAAGAGTGTGCATGTGCTCAGATAGATGCTTTTGTTGATTCTTTAAGTTGTTTAAAGTTACAATCAGATTTTGTAGTTTCTCTTTAGCTGTGCTAATTGATATTGTCCTTTGGCTAGATGGGTTTGGGACTGGAGGTTTATCAAAGCGTTTTATGAACTCCTGGTCGGTGACTGTAAGATTTGGCGCCGGCATTGGAGGGACGAGGAAAGGTGGTAAAGGAGGTGGAGGGGGAACAAATGTCGGTGGCGGATATTGGAATGTAAATTGCGGAAAATTGTTATAAAAATTAGAATTATACGTCATGATTGTGAATAAATATTAAAGTATTACCAATAGTATGTAAAGGTTTTAAATTTCGCCTGATTCAGGCAGTTGAGCTCCTGCTTCTTTTAACGCTTCTTGTGCTGCTATGTAAGCTTCGTGCTCGCTAAGGTCTTTTTCAGTACTTAATACAGTCTCAAGATCTGCAAATGCTTTTTTTAATCTGGAACAAAAATATGAATGATGTTAAGTCCATTATTTTTATAATTTAAAATATATAATCAAGAGTGGCCATCAAAGAACTCATAACTAAAGGGAAAATGTTTTTGAGAGGAATCACGACTCTGCAAACATAGTGAAGGACACCATCGGAGCAGGCGGAATGATGAAGTGCGAAAGCTGCTGGCACAAATGTGACGTGGCAAAGACCGGACGAATCCAGTACTCAACTAGAATAGGCTGATGATTATGTGTCATGATCATGATATAGATGAAACTCTTTTAATGTCAGTTCATTTGGTCACTTAGAATAGTCTTACAGCATTTATGTTATAAGCTTTAGCTTTACTTAGAATTGTTTTGAGACAATTGAATTTATATAATATTTAGCAGTTAATGATGACATTGACTACTCCACTTTACCAAAATGGCGAGTTGCAAGATCTTAGTTTTGAAAAGAAATTATTAATGAGAAACCCTGTTGTGCGTAAGAGCAGGTGTTTCTCAATATTAAATATTATTT